TGATTCTATTGAAGCAATACCATGGGCCCTTTCAATGTTACAGCAATTTCGTTTTCTAGATGTTGTAACTAACTCAGATGCTTTAACAAACTGTTTAGCACAACTATTAGAATCATGTCCTATGTGGTTCCAGAGTGAATTAATTTTATATTTACCTGATATAGTAACTGATAAACAGCACGAAGCTGTTGCAGAAATTTTGGATAAAGTGTTAGACGAGAACTCAGAATTAATAAGTTTAATACTCAATTGTATGAGTAATTTGAATCTTTCAAAGACATATTTAGACGAATATAAGAATAAAATATTAAATCTGTTAAAAACAAATATAAAAGTAAATGCTATACCAGCTGTTATAAAGTATATATAACATTTTGAAAAATACATTTTAAACATATTAAACTGTTTCCTAGTATTACATGTATTTATTACTTTTATAGATTTGTTTTAGAAGATTGCTCAGATACGGAAATTTATAAAAAAACATTGACAGTGCTCCGTAAGACCGACATACAACCACTTGCTGGAGAAAAAGTTGAAGAGTGTTACCAAAATCAATTAAATATAATCAATGCTTTGAAAATGCACATGTTTGTTTCAAAAAATACAGTCACTGCAACACTTGAATTTATAAAAACCATTACCAAAGACCCAAAACCATTGGATATCATTATTTTGCTTCTTATATTTTCAACTACAGAAACAAAAAGAAAAAGTGTTGAAACTATATTTAAACAACATATACGATCTGGTTTCTATAGAGCAAGTTTACTCAGTTTGTTGTATAACGATTACAAACAGGTATTTCCTGTACAAATTAAAATTGATATTAATTATTATTTAGATTTTATTAAAAAGTAACAATTTATTTTAGGTTGTGCAAGAATTACAAACAACAGTGTTACAACTGTCAAGTAATTTACTAAAAACAGATCAACGTGTGTTTATTGATTTTGCAATTGATTGGTTCCGTCTGCAATTTATATGTAACAAGGATAACGTGTTTAAACAACGTGAAATTTTAGAAAAAATTATATTTCTTATGGGAGATGATGATCAAACAATAAAAAATGCTTTGTCATTTCTCTGT